ATAAATGCAATTTCCACTTTTCAGAGTAAGCTACAAATTTACGTTGGTGCATGCCTAATTACAGGCATCTTTGGCAGTATGAAAGGTGAACAATTCCTTTCTGGTGTATTTTTCAAGTCAATTTCGAAGTCACAAATTACACCTCTAAAAGCTCTTGCTGCTGAGGTCTTTTTTCCTCCCACTCTACAAAGCCCCGAATAGATGTTTGAGAACCTGAAACTCTGAAAACAGCAAGAGCATTATTAGACATACTAAGGTTTTAGTCTAGTGCGTTCTCTCCTGGGGCCCTGAAACATTTCTTTGTAGTAATACATTATGATTTTAAAAACATACCACGTGGAACCTTTTTTTTCTCCCCCCCCCCCCTTTGTAAAGGAAACCGGGGCATATTGAAGGGAATGGTGTATTTATGTTTTGATGGATTTAACATGTTTACAGTTCTGCAAAAGAGCTATGTTTGGAACCCACTGTTACAACGCTTCCCTTAGGTAGGGAAATGCCCAAACTCTTTGAGACATTCTTTTACGTGGAGGGCGATATATAAATGGCAATTGTAGTTGGGAAATCTAACTGTAAAAATATACAACAGTGAAAGGTACCAGAGTTGAAATCCACTTTCTCCTCCCTCCCCCCCAAAAAAAACGTAGTCTACCTTCTGAAACTGACATTGCTGTTAATTTCACACCTATTTTGTATGAATCGGCCAACCAGCGAAAGGTGAAATTTGCCAACGCTGTCATCGTGTTGGAAAAGGATGCAGCTGCGATTTCAAGACGATAAGATGAAGGGCTTAAACTAAACACGGGATGCGATAAGCCTGGGAGGCGGGGTTCATCTGATCAAACGAAAGTGTTCATGAGAGAGAAAAAATATTGGAACGCGTATAAATGAATCGGTATGTGCAACAACCTGGGGATGTTGCAGTGGCTGAGACTCTAGGTTTGTGCAAAAGGGTGTGTGTGTGTGGGGTGGTGGGGGGGGGATAGCATTCAGCAAAGGTTTGTTTACAGACAAACAAGTTGATTGACTGTGCATACAAAAAAAAAGGTCAGGGTTAGCAGTTCTATCTGTGCGGCGGTTTTATTTAGCACATTTCCTCCTCCCTTACCCCTTGGTTGGTGTTTATTGATGGCTCCCATTGTGGTTCGTGTAAATCAACGTGGTGTGGGCTGGAAGTTTCTTTTGTTCATTGCTCGGTTCGCTTCTGGATCGGGTTTGTTTTCAGGGGGGGAAACCCCAAGAAAAGCGTTGCAGATCACCGATCTCCCGCACAGGAACATTCACACTTCGAACCTTTATTTTTTTTTAAAAAAATAAAAAAATATATATGTATGTATAAGCCCCCGAAATATTGCATCTGCAAACCTGCACCCTGGCTCGGATCGTGCTTGTGTTTACATTTCAAATGGGTGGGGGGTGGGTAGGGGGGGTGGAGGGGGAAATAATAGTAAATGCGAGGAGCTAAACTGTGTCTTTTTTTTGTTGTTTCTTCCATTGGGTGAAACGTGTTCCAGGTCACCAGAGTGCTTTGAAGACGTGGAAGCTCCCATTACCAGCTGAGACGCAGAGAATTTGTGAATGAATGAGACTTGATTGAGAAAAAAAACAAATGACTTGGGAGTTTTTTTTTGGCAGCTCTGTGTGTGTGTGTGTGTGTGTGTGTGTGTGAAACGACGGGTGCTGGATATCTGCAAGAGAGATTAAAACCAAATCGTGGCAGTACCAGTTGGATCTTTAACAGATAATGCTCGAGTCGTTTTCGTAAATGATAAGCAAAAAGACGAAATATTTTTTTGTTGGGGGGGGGATCGCATTCCCCTGTACTGGCCCCCACCTTTCGGTGTCTATGCGTGTGGCACACCATGCCTCCCAAACGATCCTTTCCCCTGTTTCATAGCTGTTTGCTGACATTTCCTCAGCGGTCCTACAGAGTCAAAAGACAGGAAATAAACATATTTAATGTGACAGCACAATCCACCATCGCTGTCATAAATAGAACCAGCAGCGATCACGCTTGTTAACACGCCGGAGTAAATGGCTTAAAGCTGTGGTTAGCCTTCCCTCGACCCACCCCCCCCCCCCCCCACCCCCTCCCCACCCTAAAAAAAACACATGTCAATTTCAAACATTCATATTATAATTAATCGACTACGACTCATTCGGACCCGGGACCCTCAGGAGACAGATTATTGCAATATAGAATTTAAATAAGTTCGACATCGACGTTGTTTGCAAATAAAGAATCGGGACACGGTTTTTTTTATTGGGGGGGGGGGGGGCGAAAAAAAACCCACACGTACTTTAAATTGTAAGGTGTGCAAAAGAGAGGCCCGAGCAGATGAAAGATAAACCCGGGAACTCTGCACCAACGAAATGTTTAAAGGTCTTTTTGCATTTAAATGCAATCCTACGAACAGCATTGCAGGCGATAATTTTTCTCCTGTATGTGTGGGAGAGAGAGAGAGAGAGAGAGAGTGTGTGTGTGTGTGGGGGGGGGGGGGGAGTGTACGTTACTCGATTGCAGTTTTGCTAACGATGCATACCAGAGGTGTAATCGGTCTTCTTTAAGAACTTGTGTTTTTTAGCACTTCCTGCAGTAATTTATGGCAATGGCTATTGATTAGGTCTTTAGGATGATCATTTCATTCGTTTCAGGCGCTGACGCCGTGCAGTCTACAGGGGGTGGAGTCGCAGAGCCAGCAGGCGGGCAAACTCTCCCCACCGGCTTCTTGGGGGTCCCCGGGCTGGGGATTTTTTTTTGTGAATGAAGTAGATGCGAATGACAAATTAACCGCGTTACTTTTTTGGGGGGGATGTGGTGGGTGGGTGGGGGGAGTTGAAGCCAAGCCGGTGGAAGGCATTTAATATAAAACTTCTCGCAGCAAACTTCAAACGCTCGCTCATCACATTCACAGTCGTTCGCAGAAACGCACCACGATTCTCCCTCCCTCCCTCCCTCCCCCCCACCCCCGAGCGATTCAGATACGATACCCTGCCTTGTTGTTTTTTATTGCAAACTATTACCGATAAAGTTAACCGTACTGTAATCTTGTTCCCCCCCCTCTCCCAGATGGGGCACAGAAATGCACGTTCCTCTCTCCCGACTCCCCAAATAACTTTCCCCCTATTGTGTCTATAAGACTGAAATCCAAATTCCTTGTTCTGGACTGACTCGGCGATCGTGGGAAACTGCCTGTACGTAAAGCAGCAAATCCTTTGTCACTGTTGTTCTTCTGTAATTGATCTCACTTCATGTCGTTGAGCGGCGGAGATCAAAGTCGGGCTTGGCTGTTGGAGGTCGACAAAGCACATGCAGCTTATAAATGCACACAGCGCACCGAACCCAGAAAGAGAGGTTCTTCTCGTGTGCACATATGCGAACATACATTAATATGCGCACACGCAATCGCGGGGTAGAGAACCTCGTGTGTGTGTATGTGTGTGTGTGTGTATGTGTGTGTGTGTTTGTGTGTTCAATGCATTAAAGAACTTTCAATGGCAGCTTAAAATAAACCCACTCAAAACTGATTTAAGGTGCACCGCCGAGCAAATGCTGCAGCTCCGCGCACACACACACACACACACACACACACGCGCGCGATTAGTTCCATTCAAAAAAAAAGAGGAGAGTGCGCGCGTTGGATGGGGCGCTCACCACAAGTTACCGCTCGCAGCAATCGTTAAAGGTCAATGCATATTCTGCCGATTTTATTCACCCGATAGATTCTGGTTGGATTGAAATGTTGGGGTTGGGTTGAAGGGGGGAGAAAAAGAGTGTATGTGTGTGTGTGTGTGTGTGTTAGGGCTCTGCCCCAGTGCCTCTTGCAGGGCAGTCACAAGCTGCACAGCGCAACCCTAACTAACACCGTACCTCCACTTGGGAGCGCGCATCCAAAACCAGCCGCCAGATTTGAGTGGGGAGAGAAGAGACAGGAGTGGGGGAAAGAGTTCGGTGCGGGTTTTCTTTTTCTTCCTTCACACAATGCATATATTAGATATACTTCTAATTGAGTGATCGGAGAACGTACATCTTTGTAAACACACACACACACACACACAACACGCACTCTCTCTCTCTCTCCTCTTTCTCTCTCCGCAATGCTCTCTGCTGATCCGACTGGTGTGTATTTAAATAACCTGCTGGAATTCAGCCATTCACAAGTGACTTTGTTACACAGTGCCCGAGTCCGGGACACGTGAGATTCCCTGACTGTGGACTCGCTCTCTCCAGTGTTGGTGAATTCCTAATGTTTTATCTGGCTCTCGTCCAGGTTGATCGCTATTTTTTTTTCGTCCTGCCTCTTTCTCTCCCCCCCCCCCCCCCCCCCCTCCTCTCTCTCTCTCTCTCTCTCTCCCTCTCTCTCTTTCTCTTCCCCCTCTTTTTTTTCTCAACCCCCTCCTTCCTTCCTTCCCTCCCTCCCTCCCTCCCCCATCTCTTTCTCCCTCCCCTCTTCCACCCACGGGTAAAGGTGCTCTTACCCATTCCCATTCCGTGGGCTGGACACGAATTATAAGCCCCAGTGGCTCTTTCTTCACCCCCACCCCCCCCCCCCCCCACACACACACACACACCCCACCCCCCCCTCTAACTCCCCTTATAGCTGTTATGCTCTTTTCCATTTCTCCCTTTTTTATTAGCTTACGGTGCACAGAGTACAGTGTGTGCACGTTATTGCTTTTTGTTAAACTTGGCAGGAAACTGCAGTGTCACGATTTCAATGTGTGCTGCCCCAGTGGGTTATAACAGGCTCTGATCACATCTAATTCCCATTAATTGCAACTGTAAAAGGGGAGCATTCTTCGCCCCCGCCCCCTCCCACCTCCCCCATTCCCCCATCCCTCCCCTTCCTCCCCCCCCCCCCAAAAAAAAAGAAATACCGTGGTACCCACTCCGCAGATCTTGTGCATCTTCCATAGCAACTTGCAATCCCAATCCCCCCCCCCCCTCCCGCCCTCTCCCCACCTCTCTCCCTCTCCCCGTTTCTTTTCCCCCCTTCGTTCCCCCTCTCATCTATTCAACACCAGGACGTCCGGTGTTTTTTTGCTTGTTAACCTGCTGGAAAGAGCCAGAGAGTGCCAGAAGCCACAATGAGTACTAGAGGTGAAGGATCGGGTCAGTCCTCGTCTGTCCCGGAACAACCTGCAGAGACACCGCCGAAGAGAGGTCGGGGAAGACCCAGGAAACAGCCGCAAGTCAGTATTGTCTTTTAAGGTCTGCTTTTCAATGGAATTGATCTGAAACCCCCCCCAAAAAAAAATATATATATATATATATATACACACACACACACAGGATTAGATCACTTGGTGCGATCGGGGTGATGTGTAGTGTGCAAAAAAAAAAGGTCACCCTGTGCTCTTTCTGGGTGTAGAATAAGATGCTCCGTCTCTTTTTTTTTTTGTCTTTTTTTTTCAAAAAAGCAAAGCGTTTTTTTCTGGGAAGAAGGGATGAGGCGACGAGAGCTTCGAGTGGGATCGTTTTCAAGGTAGTTTAGGAAAGTCTGTGACCTCTGCGTGACTGCCAATGATGCTTTTTTTTTTAACACCCCCCCCCCCCCCCCACCACCACCCCCCACCCCCCCCGGACTCTCCACACACTTCGGGGGGAAGCGAACGACGTGAAAAGGAACGATCGGGAAAGAGAGCCGCAACGACGACGACAATAACAATAATGTGATTTTTTTTTCTCTCTTTTTTTTAAAAAAAACAAAGAAAACGGAGCTATGGTACATTTCACGCCTTTGAAATAAATAGCCTGTAACCCCCCTCCATCCTCCTCTCCCCCACCCTCCACCCCCTGTTTTTTTAAAAAAATATATATATATAAAGCCGCTGTTGGGTTGTTTCTGGTCTCCCAGTTTCGTCCATTTAAAAAAAAAGCTCATCCGAAAATCCCGCCTAATTTGTCTTGTGGGACTCGCTCTCGACGTGGCTCTACTGCAAAGTTTCTCCTCAGCTTTTCATTCAAAGTTCTCTCAATGTGTCCCGTGTCCTCCAGATGTTGCCGCGGCGTTTCACCGCTGCAAAGCGTTAGAAAAGTCTTTCTTTACCTTTTTATGTCGGGGTGTGGGGCGGTGGGGGGGGGTGGGGGGGTGTTGCTGGTGAGGGTGAGGGTGAGGGCGCAGAGAGAGAGAGAGAGAGGGGGAAAAAAAAATAAAGGACAATTTCAGGACCGTAGCGATGGACCTTTTCTTTATTCCGCCACTGATTTTATTTCGTTTCGCGACCCCTTTTTGTGCGGTGCCGGTGTTTTGGAGGTGAAGTTAGTTGTTTCGTGTCTTGTTGGGGTGTTTTTTTATATATATATATACACACATATATTAAAAAAAACACACAGCCAACGAGCACTTTGTACAGTTAACTGCGCGTAAGTAAGTAATTGCCGGTTTGTCGTCAAAGGCAATGCTTCGCCGCTAATCCGAATTGATTAAATCCATCCACTACATATTTATTTTCCAATTTCAGTTAATGATCGGTTTAAGATTGTAAACGATCGTAAAGTAAGGACGTCCTGCGAGGAGTCGTTTATTTAATACTGTGTGTGTGTGTGTGTGTGTGTACACACACTGAGCCTGAAAGTTTCTTGAGGGATTGAGTCCTTATTTAATAAATAATCGATGCCTTGAAACACACTTTTTTTGTTGTTTTTATTGAACGTTTTGGTGGGAGTTTTTTTGTGTGTGTGTGTGTGTCTGTCTCCCTCTCTCTGTGTGTGTGTGTGTGTGTGTGTGAAGTAACCCCCCCATCCGAGAGCGAGAGCTTAACTGAAGCCAATTTTGACGTGTGATTTAAAATGTTCAGGGAATCTGGTGGAAAATAAATGATTCACGGTGTAGATATTTTTGGGATCCGAGCCTTCTTTCTATAGCAACGCTCGACGCTTTGAAGTGAATGCTGTCCTTTCATTGAATTAACTTAATCGAAAGCCCGAGGTCCTTGTGTTGATTGAATGGATTGATCGGCCGTTCGTTCTGTTGGCATTTCTAAGACTATATATATATATATATGTGTGTATATATATTTAGGGTTTTCAAATATTCGCTTGTCAAAGCCACAAAGGTTCGTCCATACCGTGGCTTAACATTATGTTGCTGTAAATGTATTAAAGTATGGTTTTAAAAAGTACCATGAGTTTGACNTTTTTTTTCCTCAAGCTAAATTTGAAGAGTAATTTATCCCAATTTTACTTAGCAGTTGGTTTGGTTGGAACACCAAAACGACCTTATCTTTTAATTTCTTTTTTCAAAAAAAACCATGAGAAACTCCGCTTCATTCTTTCTTTTGCCTAAACAAGTGAGTATTCCTATCGGCTGCATTGATTTAAAGGGTCGAGCACTGAGGTAAGATCAGTACAACTCTTCACAAACTAGTGAAAAGTTCTTGCATTACTTTCAACTGGAAGCAAAAATCCCACTGAGTGCAGGATGGCATCCGATAAAGACTTTGTAGATTGGGTTGATGTGGTTTTGCAAGACTGAAGTCCTGCCTTATGTGTGTGTGTGTAACTGGTCACTGTTCCGTGTTAAATCGTAGGAACCGACCGGACCACCTACGCCTAAACGACCTAGGGGAAGACCAAAAGGAAGCAAAAACAAGGGTCCCTCCAAAGCAGCTCAAAAGGTGAGATTAACTTGGTAAGCTTTGTGAGCACTAGCCTAGGCACATTCATTCACAAGGATCCAGTTTACTAATGGGTCCCATCATTCACTCCGATTTGCCAGAGGATTTGCACCATTTTAATAATTTGTGGTGTTGGAATCATTTTCTGTAGGATCCAAGAGTAAAATCCAAGTTTAAAGCAGACAGGTTCCATGACTACCCTCCCATTAGCAAGATCGTTTTCGGTTGTTGTGGTACAAGCTGATCTTGAAAGGGGAGAGACTTTTCATATTTGCGACTCTTNAAAAAAACAGTTTAAGAGTGCTGCACCCATCAATTATGCAAAGTTTCATTCACATTAGGAACGCCTGCTTCATATGCACGTGTCTGTCGAGAAAAGACCAGACATACCTGAGGAAATACAGTATTCCTCTATTTTAGTTTTCATACCACATTGGAATCGAGGACTACTATTTTCTGACTTTATTGAGTTAATACAGTACTTTGTGCTCGCAAAACCTTAATGGTGAATGTTACCTGGGTGAGAAACGAGCGTCGTGTTTCTTGAGTGGAGTGTTCAAACTGAATTTGCAGCATGAACAGGATAGATGTTAAATCTGACAATGCACATCCTTGAGTAAGCCTTTCCTGGTTTACTTGCATCGACAGTTGAGCACATTTTCTGTTCAATGCTTGCTTGGCTGCAGTTACAATGCATATGTTGATAGTGCACCAAAGTAAATACAATAACCAGGCAACATTTTTGAACAAAAACATGGAGAATTGAAACAATTAGGATTCCAAGAGTTTGAGCTGAAAGCGCTGTGCAATGACACCACAAGTATTGTCCACAATAATTATTACCCAACAAATGTGTATTTATGCATTTAAAATGTTAGGATTTGTGTTGACACTTCACATTAAAGTAAGAAAATCATCACAGCTGTTTAGAGTTTTTTTTAAAAATCCTTAGATTTGCTAACAAATTAAAATTTATAGTGAATTTAAAACTTTCTGATATTTCCCTGCTTATATTAAATCAGATTGTATCACTGCAAGTTACGTCCTCCCGACGTGAAAGGTGCTATACAAATGTCATTTTGTTGTTGTTATGGAGGTAGTTTTAACAACAATGTTAATTTGGGCTTTTATATAGCGCCTTTCATGTAAGAGAGAACTTCTTAAAGTGCTTTACAAAGGCTGAGAGGGGTTTAGGGGGAGGTGACCGAAGGTGCAGTCAGAGATGGGTCTAGGTTTTGAAAGCAGAAAGGGAGGGAATGAGGTGGAGGGATTTGGAAAGAGTGCTAAGTGATTTTGTTAGCTTAATACTTCACTGGAAACCCTCAACATTTTTCAACTAAAATGTAACATATACATCAGCTAAGTCGTAGATACTAGTTTGTATTGTCTAACAAAATGAATTGTTAAAACTGAAATCAATGAGAAAATATAGCTGGTTAGTTTCTCGAATTTGCCCTGAAGTCAAATTTAAGCAATCTGCACTTATTAGCAGATTGGTAATGCAATCCTTGACAAAGGGTTTACAATGCATACTTTAGTGAAGACTTAAATATGTAATACTTAAATAATTGGGCTGAAAATTGCAGAGTTTTAAGAGACTAAATCCCCCAACACATTGATCCTTCAGAAAGATGTCCCCTCCTCCCTGCTTTAATTTTATTGCTAAAATGTTATTTGCCCACAAATACAGTCACTACACTTTACAGTGAAATGTTGTGATGTGCTTTTAGACATTTTAACATCATCATTATTATGTGCAATCGGAGACCAGTTAAAATATAAAGGAAACCAATGGGTTGAGAGCCTGGACTAACCAATAATGAATGGGCTTGGAATTCAAAGCTTAAGGTGGCTTGCAGATTTTAAGTTTTCAATCTTGTTGCTATACATTTTTAAAAAAAAAACTAAATTGAAAATAAAAAGTGGCTTTTTTTAGTTAAAAAACCTCTGTTTAAACATGGCATGGTCTAGCTATTGACCTAAAAGAGGGCAAATTTGCAGTTTTTTTTAAACAAATCGGAATGATATATGTCTGGGTTATTTGGGATCTGTGATATTATTCAGTGTTCCTTTAATACCTCAGATAAACTTTTCTGAAGAATAAGAATCCTGATCATAGAAATAGACTGACATAAAATTCATACTGCTATGATTACATAATTCCTAGCAACAACAGTTATCTGTTCTGCATACCTTCAATTGCTGCAGGTGACCTACACAATTGACATATTTTATCTTAATGTCTGACTATCATTTTGCAAGGCAGATACCATTTCCGGGGTTTGTATATTGTTACATCTAAGATCCTGCTAAACAAAAGGGTGAATGTCTGAGGAACATTTTATACCCATTAAATTATTTAAATGGCCCTTGTCTTGTTAATTAGCTTCAACTGTACAGGTTTAATTTCCGTTGTGCCTAAAACAGAGACGCACCTTTCTTGGTTCTGATCCCAAGGCTATTGTCTTTTTGTTTCAGGTACTTTAATAACTCTGAAGTTCAGATGACATGCAAATCCATGTGTTAATTGTTAACTATAAAAAGAGTTTTGAGATTCTTGCAGAATGTTATCCAGTTTGAGACGTCAGACTGGAAAATTCATCACAATATGTTGTACTTCTTATACGTTTAATTCATTGACCCTATTATTTGGGGACAAACAGGACTTTGAGTTTTGCTATATTATGTGTGTAGGGATGTTGGATGTTTGTTTTTAAAAAAACAAATGCTTAATCTTTGATGTGCTGTATTATTGACAATAAATATTTATTGTATAATGTTGTATAATAATACTTTGGGAAGGAGACAGCATAAAGGGGCCTGATGAGTGTTAGATTCTTATAGAAAGTCAACTCGAAACTGGTTTAATCACAAAACAAGTTGATTGGAATGAAGAGTTTTCATTGATACTTTTGATACTTTTGTTCATGATAACATATTCAATTTAGACATCTGGATAATTATGAAAAGTTATTTGAATATTCATCCAAGAGGTTGTTCTGCTGTCATATAACCTGAGTTTGATCTTTGGCAGTAAGTTAATGAAATGTTGAATCTGTACTATAATGAAGTTATAATTGTATTGCAGCATGTGAAAATTATATTGCTTTTTTTCCATAGAAATCTGAGCCTACTGGAGAGAAGCGGCCTAGAGGTAGACCTAGAAAATGGGTATGATCAATTTTTCTTGTCTGATGTTTTAGGATTTCTTCTAAGTAAATTAGTTTGTTAATTATCAGATGCTTTTACATCTCATTAATATATATTCTTTGCGTATCTGTTTTTGTTCCTAATTATAATATCATTCATGAATTTTACGTTTGTTTGGTGAAAATCAATTTATGAATGGAAACAAATGGCTTCCATAATTCTGTATTTCTGAACCAAATCTAGACAGTCAGCTTCAGTGTAGCCTGTAAGTGTTTTAAATTTTATGGCTAAGTGGCTCAATCACCCTTTCTGCTCAGTGTTATTGATCTACATTTTAAGATATAAAAATTTCACATGAGTCGGTGGTTTCTTCACCAATCTCTCACATTTGCCTTTATTTGAGTCACTGAGGTTATTTTTTGCAAAATGTCTTACACATTGGAGGATTGGACTTTCCTAGCCTTGAGCCAGACCATTGCAGTCATCATTACGGACAAATAGATTGTGCACAAAATTATTCTCCCTCACAGTTACTACAGCATCCTGTTTAAGCTCTGTTAAATTGTGCCTTAGGAGTACTGTATCCCAAAACTGAATATAGGTCAAAGCTCAAGATATATAACTAACTTTTGTGAATGGGAGTTGATTGTGTATAGAATTTCACTAGTATAATAATGTTTACATTTGATATAGCACCTTATATCAGAAACGTTTCAAAGAGCACAACAGATTTTTTTAGATGTAAGGACTGTATGATTAGGTCAATACAGCAGCCAGTCTGCATACATCAATGTTTCACAAGCAGCCATGAAGTGAATGACCAACTTTTTATCTAAAGGATTGTTGACAAGGGTTTATCCCACAAATCCTAATTATGTTACCTTGTAATTGTTGGTTGTGGTCAACTTTTAAATACTACTATCATGCAAGCTCCTATCATAAAGAATATGCTGTGCTATTTTATTCAACATATATTTTTGAGGGAAGAGAAATGTGATTTATTATTTCAGTACTTTTATATAATCCTTTCTTCCTCAAATATAAGACGATGGATGATGTAAGCAGCAACAATAGAATACTGGTTGCATGTATTCTTTTGTTCTTTTGGTGCAAATTATTGCCATTGAAGATGCTTCTGAGCTTTCACCAATGGCTCAGGTGGTTAAACACTGCACAGCTTGAAACTGAGCCATACAGACAAGGTTCGATCCCAGACTCTGCTAATTTAGTCATCTCAGCTTGAGTGACAGCAGGGTAGCCGAAATTTCCTTCAGGCCTTTAAGTTAAGAGGGAATAGCCTTTACTGCAAAGGTGGATGAAGATAAGAGAAGCTCAACTGTGATGCTTCACCTAGTCATATAGCTCACTAACAGATGACCGTCTAGACTTGCACATAATAAATAAGCCAAATTGGAACGATATCCAAGCAAAAAGTGAATGTGGTAAGGGGAAAAAATTGGAGGTGAAGTGAAAAGAAAGTAAATGGGTGTTTGTAAACCAGGAACAAATGGTGTAGATTCCATACTTCTGAGGCCTGGGTGGACCACTTGGGAAATTAAGGCCTACATTTCCCCCCCCAATAAAATGCACAGCATTGCAATAATGTAAGAAGAACCTTTATCTGACACGTTTGAGGGAACTGAACATATAAAACATCTCTGTAAAACGTTAAATTAATGCAAGGAAGTGAACATGAATTGTATAATATTTTTATTTAGCAAATTTTTGGTGGGAAACTGTTTTCTTTAACAAAACTTTTCAGTTGATGGCTTCGTATCGTGTTAAAAGTGTGCATATATACATACATTCAGTTACTTTGGTGTTTATTTGCTATTTAGTAGGGAAATATGGCAGCTAACTTGTGGAGTAGAGTGACAGCCTAGATTATGAGCTGGTGTGTAGCTTGAACCCACAACCTTCTGACCTAGAGGCGAGAGTGCTATCAACTATCAATTGAGCCAAACTGACGTAATTGCTTGTTCGTTTGCTTGATGTCGTTTGTTCCTGTCATTGATTTCTATCTTCACTTTTTCATGATTGTCGTATCTGTTGCGTTGGGGATCCAAGTTCTACAATAAAACAGTATCTTGTGAATTTAGGAAGTCTAATTGCACTGAGGAAATAACAGCTGCTTTTTAAGCAAAAAAAACAATTTAGAAGAAGGATTCAGACTACAGCAGATCTGAGAATGATCCTGTGTCACGTTTATTACTTCAGATTGTATCATAATGAACCTTCACAACTTTGCACTTGAAGCAATATTTAAAGGGGGTGAACATGCTTGAGATGCATGTACATTATTTGGTGCATGGCAATTTAAAGGGAGCATTGTTCACTTGCAGCTTTTGGCAGTTTTGAGGAAGTGGAGCTTTAAAGGAACAAGGTTGTTCAAGAGCTCCTGAGATGGTCAAATGGCCAGAGAAAGTGCAGAAATCCAATCTACTAAGCAGTAGTAGAATGTGTTTAAATTGGCTTTAGCATCCATGTTCAAGAGAGTGGAAAGTAATTGATCAAGTCCCGTGCTATCCAGGTTTGTATCAATATGAATAAGGACAGGATTGAGCTTCAGCTATGCTGGCTCATGACTCACAGTTAAACCACATTGGGTTTCTCCATTACAGGAGTAATATTAGAAAGCTAATGGGTTGTGTTTGTGGGTCTGATGAGCATGGGGCATAAAGTGCTTGAGTTCATTGGGACCAGTAGTAAATTAGTTGTATAATGTCATGTCAGTCGGTATGTTGACCAGAACATTACACCCATGCTTGTGCTGGTCTTCACCTGATTGATACAGTGGGCACTTCCTGGTAGGTGGTGTTGGATGGATTTTTGGTTTACACATCTTGGGAAGGGAGGCATTGAGACCAATTGCAGAATCTCAACCGCCTCTCCAGATCATACCAGTTGAATCAGCACACATGGGGGTAGGACCTGTCATCTGTGTAGCTCAGTTTCATATTCTGCAGTGGCTTTAGCAACTGAGGGATTGATGGAGTTATTTTATACTGCTAATATTATGGTTGCTATTATTACATCTTTATTTTGCAGTAATGGTTGGAGCTTAAATTTTATTCTGGATTACTGGACACAGACTTATCTTGAAAGCTCAGTTGTTTGTTCTGTCATAGCCCTTTGAATTAAGGCGAGAGAGGTATTTACTGTTGATCCTCAGAAGAAAATAACCACATTGCTGAAATATCCCAAATGTGGATTGGGTCTTTGGTCTAAAGTAAGATGGCATGAGTGATGGTTTGAAACAAAAACTGTCTTATTGAAACTAAAATGTAACAAGGTGAGGTGATTATATTTCATTTTAGTAGTAGACCAAAATAATCTGATTTTCAATGGCATAAGTCACTTTAAGCACCTCAAACAGTTGAATTTTAAGAGTAAATTAAGGGTTTATTTTTAACAACTATGGAATGCTAGAATAAGAATTTATTTAAATACAACAATGGTGTTGTGAATGTAAATAACGTAGACCCTCAGCAATTTGTGTCAAAGGCTCAATATGATTTTACTGAATTTTCCCTTGGGCAAGAGACAGCAACGTTTTTGAATGGCTGGAAAGATTTCAACAAGTCTTTACATTATTGACTTTGTTTACAAATATTACAATAGCATTTCTGTAATAGTCCCTGAATGTATCCACACAGGCTGATCAGTTTTGCTTAAGCATAGAGTCCCGGTTGTCAATTTAGACTGGTAATGTGACTTGACTGTGATCTTGCAAGTAATGGTTAATGTGAAGCTCCCTGACCTATGATGATGTTTGTTGTACTGGGATCCTGCAGTACAACTTATTTAAATTTTAGCTACTAACTCACAGCAAAACCATTCTAAAATTAGCTTTTATACTTAATTTTAAATCAGATCAGGCCCATTTGGTTGCTGTGAAGCTGCACCTGGATACATTTGGCTCAGGTGCTTTCCTTTGATGTGTGGAGACTTACTTCTCAGTTCTAACAGTGACCAATGCTTTTGCAGCCTGAATCCATTGTAAATGGAGTCATCCATTAGCAAGCAAGCCAAGTGGAACAGGCACTGGGAGAGGTGGGATGCAGTATTTGTAGTTGTAGATAGCACTTCAACTGTGTGCCAAGTTACACACAAGTTAGGCAAGAACTAGGAGCAGAAGCGAAAGTAATTACATTGCTGAGACACAAATTATTTGATTGTCAATTTGGAGAATTCACATAATTAATTTGTCTTTAAGTAAGGTTTGCTTTGTTGCCACATTATGACAAATTAAATACTTGTGCAGGGTTTTCTATGTTCATGGAATAATAATCCTTGCATGGCTGAAAATGACTATGCGGTCAAGGAAATGAAAACTGTAAATATTTTTGGCCAACAACCATGTTACTGGATGGTTCTGCACATATGTCCTGGCTCTGATACACTCTATACAGGTGTTGTATCTTATGTAGTCTTTTTGTACAATACAAAATTACATTTTAATAGCACCTTTCACATCAGCAGGACGTCAAAGGCACCGTATATGAGGCTTTTTTTGTCTTGAGCATTTTAAACGGGGAATCAGTGTTCTGGTTTGAGAATTGTTGGTTGTTTGGGAATATTCGCATCACATGCTAGCTGTTAGTGCAAGATCATCTTACAGTTCCCTAAAGTAAGATATGGCTGATGGGAAGTGAATCTCTCTCTTTGGCTTTTGATTTTATGCACTGTAACTTTAAGGTCCTTATTTGTGGTATTTCTTTAATGGGAGGAATACTATTAAGTTGACTAATGGGTTCTTTTGGTTAGCAGAAGTACATTGTATCAACCCAGGGGAACTCCGCTCCAACATGATCGACTTCTGGAGTGGATGGGTTGGAGTGGAGTTCCTGTGGGTTGATGGGAACAATCTAGTTGAGAAATGACGCAAATTTAGAACGTACTCTCTGACCCATGCAAATAAGATCAATCTGGAGTGTTGCTCCATTTAAAGCCTCGGGTGCCAGTTAGGTGAGAGTTGAACTGCTGACTTTATCTGACCTACTTCTGAAGGGAAAAAGGCA